TATGACATTGTTTTTTTTTTCATTTAGGGTTCTATCCCACCATTGGAAAGCTTCACGATGATCATCAATATTACATAACGTCGTCATATATAAAATCACTGGCTCAGGACCCAACTGTTGATCCCGATACCCACACCACTGAACCGGCCGTCCATCTTGCCGCAGCACAACAAGCACAGTGGAAGATCGACATCTAGCTGTTGCAAACAGTTCACTAGGGCCATATAAAATTGTACCTATCTTATACATTGCGAGTTTGCTGTTGAATCTTAATCCTGAGTTCTCATGTCTCCCTATTTTATGTGTAGTAATTTATATTAGTTAAACTTGTTTTATTACCCATCACCTGTTAACGCACTTACGGGTCCTAAACCCTCCGAAAACTCTCTCTTTTTTTTAATAAAGCTTTACATAAGGAACGTTTTAGATTGCTTCATGATACGCACGCTAGAGTTTTGAGGACATCCGAGAACTTGAAATTGTCAATACCAATGCATGCCAGTAAATTCATTGATAAATTATTTACAGTCCAAGCTGCACGTCTTTGGATTGAATTATTGTCAGAAAATATCAGGCATACTCAAAGCATACACATTTTTAAAGGCCTAGTCAAAGATAACTATCTGTCACTCATTCTGAATCCCGTCTACAGTTGGGTTATTATAATAGGCCACATTTGACATCTCCTGTTTTCAACTTTAAAGTAAAGCTTTCTAAATGTAATAAATCTATTTAATCTAAACAAACTAAACTCCTCTGTAATGTTATGTTAGTGGACCCATTGTGTTTTTTAACAGTAGGGACGTATCCAAAAAATCGAAATGATTGGTCTACTCGAAAGTCGATTTGATAATTGTTTATGAAAAATAAACAAATAGCCACATTGGGATTCTACTCACTAAAATATCGTTCAAATTATAAACAGTTTATTCTACAAAATGTATTGAACTCAAAAACCGGGTTGCATTTCTAACCATGCCGACACCAAATGAACTTATATATAATTGACTTGGTAATGGTATCAAAAATACAAAGTTATATTTAAAAGGCGCATACACCAAAAGCCACTAACTTTTCGATTGGTTTTGTACTATTAAAAATTATAAAATATAATAACATTTATTAGGAATCTGTCACATCCAAAACGTTAATTTATAAAATTTTCTCGATAGAATCCTCTAGACCCTTGGAATCTTCAATTTACTTCCTTTCTAATAGTGATTATTTTTATAGGGAAATTTGATAAACACGTAAATCACATTGTGAAGCACCATGCAGTAGTTAACAGTAGTCGTAACATGAAGTTTGCGAGAATTCATCAAACAGATTTGACGCACAATTTGACATCCACTGTCCCTATCTATTTGCCGTGGACAATGAGATATAAAGGTTTTTTGTATTTATCCCCACTGTTTAAGTTTTTTCATCACGCTTAGGAAATAATAACTAATTTGTGCGATATTCATTTATTATCTGTGATTTCCTCTGTTGTTCTTGTAACAATGTCGACACATAATATATAAATAATCATCATCAAATTGATAATATTTTTGCACAATAAATTTATTCGATTCGCATTTATTTGAAAACCATATCAATGCTCTGAATTAATCGAAAATGTTAAGAAGGACGCCTCACTATCAAGTTCAGACTGATTGATGTCAATTGAGACTTTTTATAATGACCCAACTGTAATTCTTATCTATCATCTAAAAGAGCATATGTATGGTATATATATATATGTGTGTGGGTGTATTTATAATATTTGTGTACTTATTATTTTGTGTATGTGTTTATAAAATGTAGATGTATGATATTGTTATAAAGTTTTGAGACACCATAACCTATCCTAATCTAATCTAGATATAAGTTTGTACAGTTCGCCAGGTTGCCTGGAGAAATTACTATTTAGTAATAAGGTCGCCAATTATACATTTAAATTTATCGTATCCATTTTTTTTCTATTGGTGTACAATAAAGAAATTTTAATTCATTCATACATCGATCGAAATTAATAGGCCTTTCGATAGTTGAATAGGATGATGGTTTGTTTGTCCTAACACTTCTGAGACCTCACAATTTTAGACTCGCGATTGAAGGATGATTTATGTTACAAGTTTGAAGAGTAAACGTTTGGTTTCTGTTCAGCATTAACGGCCTAACAGCGAAATTGCGGAAAGTTAGGGTTGCTCGCTAAGAGCTTCGATTAATTATGTCAATTGAGAATTTTTACTTACTTCGCTTAATTTTTCATCGAGATGTGTGGGCCACACCATTTCGAATAAGAATTTAGAAAAATAAAAATGTACACCTAAGAAAATAAAAAAATATTAAGTAACAACACCCGTTGATTGTTTCGTTTAAAATTTGACATAAATTCATAACCTGACAATAGTTTCTTTCTTACTCTATGACCTGACAGATACCGGAATTCTCTTTGGATTCCTGATAGCCAGAAAAAGAAAAGCAGTAAAGAGCATAAATACACAAATAGCAATTAAACTATACTGTTGATCGAACAATTGAACTTTGAAACCTCTGTTTTACTTTACCGAATATACAAAAATGCGTAGATTTGGACACAAAGGAAATGCTTTTGCCTAAAGCTTATGCACACAAAATTAAACTACAACTATACTTACTTACTGACTATACTTCAAATTACAGAGATCGAATTGTAGATATGATGCATTTAACTTATACATTTTCTTAGATTATTTCATATTACGTATATTATTAAAGGATCAGGGAGGGAATAGTTAGAATTTTTCAACAGGCTCTTGCATGAAAAATATAAATAACTGGAATAAATAATGAAAGTTTCATTTATAGGCAAAAGATTTTTCGACTTTCATTAAAAAGAGATAAAATTATTTCTAATAAAAATACCGGAAATGAGTCACTGTATGCTATGACTTGCACACAATGTACTCCGTAGCACGCAATGGCTTTAACAATCCAGCGGTTATAACTGACACCCTAGTTTAGAGAGATTTAGACCGGTTAACAAATAAACTCGCACATTTTTTGGCAAGAAAATAGCAATTAACTTCGGCCAGAATTTGCCGGAGGAGGATAATATCTATAAAGACGTTGCTTCTTAACATCGCGTTATATACATTAACATCATGGGCCTATTAATGTACCCACTACTGAGGCTAGCCTTTACTATGGATTGATTCAAATCAAATCGAATAGGGAGAATGACAACCAGTTCGGATTGGCGAGTGAGGTTATAAAATAATTACAATTATGGTATCATAACAAAACTTAACTCAAACTCACGAAACACCGTGTATTATTGCGATATTTTGTTTGGTCTGAGGTTTTAATTTAAACCTTCAATATTAAGTTTAATCGACACATTCTGCGATTAAAACGTTAGACGTTTATAAATCTCGTAAAAGTAAAGAAAAAATCAAGTTCCTACTGCTAAGCTCAAAATGTAATCTTAAGCTATAAAAAAACGCATCAAAACACGTTTCTGGAACACTTACTAGTTCATGCATGATTGTTACCGCTTTGGATTGATATAGAGGACAGATATAAAGCTCATTCTGTTTAAAGCAGCACTGTTTCCTCTCCGACCTTCATCAAAATGTTAGTGTTAGAAAAATCTTGAGCTTATGATTTATTATAATTGCACCAAAGTTTGCATCCTCTTCTGCACACTCAAATGCAATAAAATAAAGTCTATATTTTAGTCATTTATAACAAAACATATTGATTATAATTGAATGAAAATAACAGTTTAATTTCTCGACACATTCATGAATTTGGAAAGCGAAAATAATAGGTCTAATCTCGGTTATCACTCGCGGTAGAATCATCATATAGATTTTGTATGTATCGAAATGGAATTTTCTACATTGACTTGCATTTGAGTGTTCGTGGTATCTATAAAGGAAAGTTTTGATCGTTTGTTTGTTTGCAATGAATCGGCTCCTAAAGTACTGGACCTATTTTGAAAATTATTTCACCTATGGGATGCTACATCATACGCCTTTATAGGCATATGATGTAGCTTCCCGAAGTACTTCTTGTCATACGCGGGTAACACAGATTATAATTTAGTCAGGTGAATCCCGGGTCACTAGTAATTAAATATCTAACTTCAAGTAGTATTTGTCAAATGAAGCCGGTTACAATTTCCCAATTCCTGCATTAACAGGATCAACAGCGAATTACCTTTACTTCCGTTAAGCGGAGTCAGGTGAATTACAAAATGGAAGCAAGAATCCCGATCAGCGTAAGCGGAATGATAAACAAGCGGCACAGCTGTCGCTAACAACACCGACAAAAATAAATAAAGCTTGCGAAAATAAACAAAGCCCAGTTTTATCTGTGGGAAAACCATTAGGGGATCAAAACGAGGTTTGCGGATGAGATAAATGAAAAACACAGAAAAATTTGGACGTCTGCAAGGAAATTGTGAAATCTCTTGATGTAGCTTCATTTTGAAATCGTTTTTACAGTCATTCGTTACTGAAAAGTTGCTGATGAAAAGTCGTGTCCACAAATAAATTTTTGTCTCCATTGGAGTAGCATATAACAAAAGTTAGTAGATGAACTAAAAGTCAAACTTGACAATATACATTTCAACTTCATATTACGTACTAAAGTGTTAATAGAGTGATATTAAAGTTTAAAAAAGTAACGATTTGTTGAGATTTCCAGTTTCTCAGTTTAGACATCATAAAAATGTAGTCGTTTGTAAACGTCCAGCTTAAGTTGCGATTGCTAGACCAAAGTTTTGCAATATTACTTCCAAGTTCCAGCTTAAAGTTTTCACAATACAAATTCTTAACGTCAATATTCGTACGCCAACTTTTGGTATTCTCTTGGGGCGCACGATCTAGTCAGTCGTGTCAGTGGTTCAAATGTGCGGATAGTGGATGATAAGTTGTAGTTGTTCAGTTCTACATACATGTGTTATTAAAACAATGGGATTTTAAAGATTAAATGTATTAAATTAACATTAAATGTAAAAAAATTGTAATCTACTTATTGTTAATTTGAAGATTGAGCTTCTTTTCAACTTCTTGTTCACGATGTTTAGATTCGTAACGCTTGTGGTCATGATGTTTATGATCATGTTCATCATAATTGCATCTGAAATAAAGTTAAAGCATGACTTGTAAGTAAATTCCAATTTTTTTTTTGGAAATACATTAGGTTTTTAATTTAATACTATTTCTGAATAAAATTTAAAAATAATATTAAAATTTAAAAATCTTTTATTTGGGCATGTTTTCACTCGGAAGGTGACTAACAAATCTATTTTACTACTTGTTTAAAAGATTTGCTCAAAACTGTAACTGACATTCACGATCGCCTGGGATCTATCGCCCCATTTTATGCTATGTACTCACTCAACTATCATTTTATGCTATGTACAGATACTCACTCAACTAATGGTTTTTTATAATTCGTGACGGGCCACACGCGTACCAGGTCACAAAAGGAACTCTCTTCCGTGCCTCGTTGTAGCGTCACATATTTATCTCCGTAACCGAGCCAACCTCTATGCACTGCGTATTGGACTGCGAAGACAATCTTAGCTTCTACATTAACCTGCCATATGTGATGTGGTTTATCTAAAACGTAAAAACTGTAACTAGCAAAAATAAAATCAATGTTCAGTCAAAACATATTTTTTGCTTTTATTAAAATTTAAGTGGGTGAGTTAATATGGCTCATCATACATAGCTATTGTATAACTTGTCAAAAGACGACTTCGTTACTAATGTGATTTCAAGAACGTTAAATTATTCAAGTCACTACAAGAAGGTCGGTGTCAATTTTTATAATTATTTATTAGATTGTTATATTGATATCTGACAGAAAATGAGTCGCTTGCCATCGATAACTGAATCAACGGTATAGACCACAGAATAGATAAAAAGGTTAGAATGATAACATACTAACATTAGTACTAGGACCGCGCGTGCCAGATATCACACAGACGTAAAACTTCACCTATTCAGCTCACAAAGAGAGCGATGCTTCCATTGGCTACAAAAGTTTCAGCAAAATTAGTATATACTAGCCTATAAATACAGGTGATTTTACAGTAATACTCAAAATGTATGGCTAGCTATAATAAAAATTTGCACAATTACTTTTGTTAGTTCTAAATATTATATTCTGTGCGCGGATATTAAATTAGTTAATGTGTAAACATTTGAAATACATGTTTCATTACATAAAAATGTTATTGCACGACGTATTAGCATTAAAACAATTTTTCAAAATATAATGCAAAGAATTTTACGCTTCTGTCAACACTGAAAAAGTGAAGTGCCCTGTGATTCACAATTTGATATCGATAATCAGAAAATCCTTGATATATTGGGTTAATATAATAAAATAATTTATTAATTTATCATTTCGCATATTCATGAAAAAAAATCCAATGAAAATAAATACCATATGTATGTAATCACTTCATAATGATTGTAATCAACTTTCACTTGAAAAGGCTCGATAAATTAGACCAATTCCTATCTTGCTAAAGTGCCAAAGTAACTGCGATTTTTGTCAGTTTTAATCAGAAGTAGGCTGCAACGGAGTCACATATCAAGAGCAGGTGACAGTGATGATAATTTGGCCCTTTGGGGGCTAGATTTTTATAATTTGAATTAGCCTTTTTTTCTATTATATAGTCATAGTTTTATTTTTTGATACCTAGCTAATTTTTTTTTATATATTTAATGATCTATGTTTTTTTTACTAACTAGGTATTATATGAAGCACAATATACTAAGAATGGAAAATAATAACAAAGATGTCTCATTGAAACTATATTTCAATAATATCCCAATATAACATTTAATTTGACAATATAATCAGAAAATTAGATACATAATATTTCATTATAAATTTGTAAGTAATTTATCATATTATTTAATATTAATGAAATCATTTACAGAAAAATATGTTGAACAAATGTAACTAGTTTTAGAAGGAAACCACCATTTCTATCACGCGTCAATCCACTTTTCTTTTATGTTGGGGTTTCTAGGAAAACTGAAACATACAATACAAAACTCTTTATTGTTCACATTACACAATGAATTACAAAATTTAATAGTAAATTAACACTATTATGTAACAATAGGCGGCAACTATTATGTAACAAATTAACACTATTATGTAGCAAAAACATATCGTACAAAACTCTAAAAAATTTCTGTTAACTATTTATCTTAATAGATTTAATGTTATAATTGCATGTAAATTGATTGCCATTCATAATATTAGGGTTAAGTACTATCGATAGCATTTTATCGATATCTGCAAGCACTATGTTAACAACTGACACAATCTCACGGAAAAAAAAATGTGATTATATCTCGATATACTGTTATATAACCAATATTTTTTACTTACCGATGAAATGAAATTTCTCCTTTTTTCAGAATTACATTTTCATTATGCAAACGACTCGTAATAACGGCACTATTCGGCATATTTTCGTATTTTTCGACGCACCATAGACCACTATGACATTGTGCAAATAATAAACTGGAAATTTGAGTAACATGACGTTCATATGACCGTTTTGGGCATATGGATGGTCGCACGACCCCGCCCACTTAATCGTTCTACCTTTTTATCTGTTCTGTGGTATAGACAAAATGTGAAATAAAATACTCAATCTATCCTCACTCTATTAAGTGTTAAGTTCAAAATTGATTATAGAAGTTGACTCTAAAAGTAACCTGATGTGCCGCTATGTGTAGAAATATGTGAAAGTAAATGTAGTGGAAAATTTTTATTGCTTACCTACGTACATAAGCGGGATTATACATTTACAGGATTTCAGTAACCTATTGACGTTAATATTAGTGCCAACAGTGATGACGAGGCAAGTGGGATTCATACGTAGAAGTGCTCTAGCAGTACTGCCTGTTACAGTAGGAACGACGATAGCTCTTGCTTTGCATTGATAGGCAGCGGCAACACAAGAAAGCATGGCTGCTTCTGCTGCGTTCATCGGCAACTTGATCTGTGAAGGACAATTTACATACAGTTATATTAGTATGTCGCCTTGTGACCTAATGGGTGTTATATAAAAACAAGCATGTAAAATGATCAAATACAAAAAAAAAAAAAAATCTTTACAACATTTATATTAACCAATATTAAAGTAATAATAATGAACAATTCTTAATTTTTCCAAAAAGGCTAGTTGTTTCAGGTTCTGTTTTCCTTTTAAATTATCTTTTGGAATCTCAAAATATTAACTATTATGAATAAGATTAGATTAAATTATAACTTTAATTTACACTTTGATTAGAATCTAATACGCACAAAGATACATAACACTTATTTAAATTAAATAACTTTCCTTCTACCTCATCAACGATCCGCAGAAAATTGGCCTTGGAATTCGTATACGGTTCTATACTTCGACAAAGCTTGTTTAAAGACTTTATGCCTCTGATGAGGAAATTCACATCTTGGTATTGTTTTAAAATGAAGCCACTAACTCCATCAAGTAGGGCGTTCGTTATATCTGACACTTCACGGTCCGTATGTTCACCTGTTGTTAAAGTATCTTGAAGTATGTCTCCAGACAAGAAAAATGGTTTACCGAGCTAAAAAAAAGACCAAAACCAAAATTGAATTTCGTTACATATTCTCTTCGGATAAAGGTTGAGCAGAGTTTACTTATACCCTGTGCAGTGAGAATATACCCTCAAACTCGACGTCTAGTGCAGTGCTGTCGGTGCGAAAAGGTTTGATAAAATAAAACCTACTTCAAAATGTAGTAAGGTTTTGCAGTGCCTTCGCACTGGGTACGGAGGATGTATACTCGCAATACTTCCATGTACTGAATTCCAACGTTCAAACTCTTACACACATTTTGCATGCATGCTGCTTGCTTGCCTGCATGCATGCATGTTCTTTGTAGCAGTATAGTAAATAAAAGATTTAACTGATTAAAATATATAAAAAAATATATATATATTTTCAACTATAATAAAATCCTTCATGCATAGAAATTTATGCTTTTTGAAATTATGGCAAATGAGTGTTATTCTTTAAGGCTTTAGGGATTTTGCCGGTCATTCTTATTAAATATATTCTTTTTGAATATTATGTCTTATCAATATTATGGCCTTAAATAATATGTATTTCATCACTTATGCTTATCAAATTTAGGCTTTTCAATTAGTATGTCTTACAGATTTCAGTCATATGATATTATGCGTCAGGAAGTTATATGTTATAATGGCTTATAGCAAGTGACTATTATGGTCAGTAATATTATGAATTGTCAGTTTACGACGAGAAACGTAATACTTTTCAATAGGTTTACCACAATTTAACATATCAATTCAATAACAATTATATTAATAGTCCAGAGAGCCTTAACAAAACACAGGTTGGGAAACATCCATACGTGGTACCGTTTGCTGAAGTACAGGGTCATCCTAGCTCGGCAACGGAAGTTATTATAAAGGTATTTGTAAGATAAGAAATGTGTGTTAAAAATATATAAAGACAAAGTTTCTAACTTTATTTGTTTGTTAAAAATAGCATTTAAAATGGGTTGTGTATAAAATTAACAGTGGTAATAATGATATGAATATTTGCTTACCGCCTGGCATTTACCACCTAGCCACTTTTGTATACGATACAATGTTAATTTTTTTGATGCGTCTAACTCAAATGGTAAGAACTCCCTTGACAGCAAAATAGCGTCAGATTCCTGTTGTAAGTAAAAACATTAAATTAAATATTCTGATTATCACCGTGACAGAATGGTTCGTACGCTCGTTTCAAGGTGTTTTTATCTGTGAGTTCCCTTGAACCCGGAAAAATGGAATTTTCTGTTTTAATATGAGTATAAAAGTTATTTAATTTGGGATCTGATCAATGTATGCGATTTTGTCTAATAAATATAGTAGAGGCGTGAATTGTACCCCAATATTTACTATAAATTAGAAAACAAATAAATGCCTATTCTATTATAATTCAATTCTATATGAAATAAGAAATATCAACATTATCGAGTCCTTTTTGTTCTCACTGCAAGGGCTCAGACCTTCCTTATGAACACGTTGGTCCAATGTGGATTGGAGGGTATTAACAACTATAAATGCTGCCGGGATCAACGGCTTAATGTGCTTTTCGAAGCATGAGCAGCAGCTAGAGATGATATTTTTTTCAACAACAACAACGATCGCGGGCCGCGGCGCTTATCGACTACGTCACTGAGCTACTACTACATACTGCAAAAAAAAAGGTATAGGTATAGTTTTATGTAATAGGTATAAATACGGAGCGCGCAGTAATGAAATCAATTGGTGTTCGACATTAGAGGCCATGTTCTGTTACTCTGACCCTTGTTAGACGCCTAAGTGAAACGTGTAAGTTTCCCTCATGTTTCTACTAATGCTCTATGTGAGTTACAATTATTGTAGGTCGGAATGGCCACTTTTGTACTAGTAAAACACAAACTTTAGTTGTAAAGGTTTAGGAGGCTCGAATGTAATTAAACTTTGAGCTGTGTCGACAGTTCAAAAAAGGTTTATCGAGTTTTATGTTTGTAAAGTTAACTTCAGTTGTTGTAACGTAATCTTCCTAAGATATATTTAGTAAGGCTTCTGGTTACATAATAAATACATAAATAAATAAATATTAAACATCACATAAACACCCAGACCCGAGATAATATAGAAAAGTTCATTTTCTACATTAACCCGACTGGGAATCGAATACGGGACCTTTGAGATGGCGACATCTTCAAACCGGCGTGCGAACCACTTGGCAATGAAAACAAAGATAAAATTGAAACAAATTCAGTTGCTATTATTAATATTTGTGATCACCTAATTATGACCATAAATTTTGATCATTAATAAGGCTTTACAACGACTAGTTATGGAGGAGTTTGATGATGCAGTCGTCAGTGATACGGTTGTGAAGCAAATTTCTCAAGGACGAGTTATAGGGTGGGTGACTAAATATTTATCTGAAGCTTCTTCTTGTTTCGGAAGGCACGTGAAACCGTCGATACCGGCTGCATCTCCACTCGTTAATTCCAACCAATCCACACTGGGCCCAAGGTCATGGTGCATCATCCTTATTCAATTCGATTCCATCTACATAGGGAAGGCCTTAACCCAAGCACTGCGACTGTTAAAAGCTAGTGATGATGATGAATGAAATTTATTTAGATTGTTTGACATTCAGTAAATGACGGTATCAAACGCATGGTAATGTGTTTATTATAATTATATATCTATCGTCTATTCTTAATATTATAAAGAGGAAATATTTTAGTGTTTGTTTGTTTGCATTGCATAGGCTCCGAAACTATTGGACCAATTTATAAAAGTCTTCCATTTATAGGAAGCTGAAGATAAACAAAATCTCCTTTTCTAAGACTTTCACTATGTTCAATATTATTATTTACATAGATATTTAATATTTTTAGTGTTATCTATTATATAAAAATACCAATATCACTAAAAAGTACAAAAAAAGTTTTAAATATATTTTTCGTTATAAAAATTTACCTCTGCAATGCTGTCAATATTATCTAAACCTCGTTCTGTGCATATACCACTTATGAGATATGGTCTCGTTACTTTATTACCAATAAACTTTTTTATATGCTTCAATGTTTCTGGGTGATTAACGTAATTTACTATAATAATGTCCATCTGAAAATATATGTAACAATAAAATAGTTACACATTGTAAAAAGTCTTGAATGAGAAGCACCGATAGGAAATATGCATAAAATTTAAATTAGACTCAAATTTTATATTATACCTTAAAATTATTATTTTTTGGTTATTTATTATTTTAACCAAGAAAATCTATGCTAATATTATAAAGCTGAAAAGTTTGCTTGTTTGAAAGCGTTAATCTCAGGAACTACTGGTTCGAATTGAAAAAATATTTTTGTGTTAAATAGACCATTTATCGAGGAAGGCTTTAGGCTATATGACATTACGCTGCAACTATTAGGAGCAAAGAAATAATGGAAAAGGCGGACAAAATCGCTGGCGGCCACTAGTATTAAATAAAATGTCCAAAATAAAGACGGGAAATTCAAATTTACGAAACGCGTCACCATTGGTTTAACGAAATATGCCGTCAATGGTCACTCGATTTGTCGGCTTCGATATTCATCTGTGATTCTATGCTGTGTAAGGCGTTTAGAGAAAAGTTGAAAAGAAAAGTGGAGATTACATATTTGGGAACAATATTAGTAATCCCAATACGATGACAGAAAATGGTTTTGTGAAAGCACAATCGGATAATCCACCGAAAATGATAAATTGCATAATTAAATAAATATATAATAATAATTAAATATTACACAACATCACATACATTGTTCAGATTTCAAGATAAGTAGTCAAAGCCCCCGTAATATGTAGTATCTGAGACAACGAAAGTAACACAACACCCAGACCCGACACAATATAGAAAAGTTCATTTTCTACATTGACGCGACCGGGGATTGAACCCGGAAACCTCAGAGATGGCGACACCTTGAAACCGGCGGCTCGGTTACGGAGGTCGTCAAATTAAAAAATTATAAGACAGTTTTCAAGCCTATTTATATGTTTCTCTTTATAATACAGCTGTGAATAATTAATTTAATAAATAAAAAATAAAACTTGCATATTCGCTATTGGGGCTGTGTAAACAACGTTTTTTAAAAAATACTCGGGTCATTTTTTTTTGCTTAGAGGTTATTCAAATCACATTCGAGAAAATTCTTGACTTAATCAACAGGTTCCCAAGAGACGATGATACCAAGCAAACAAAATAAACAGAATCTACTGTATTAATCCTTTAAAATGCATACCTGATATTCCAAAGCAAATTTAATGATTTGGAAGTCTGTATTGCCAAGTGTCGGCCTCTTACGCTTAATACCTCTCATTGATACGTTATCGAGATCATATAACTGGCCACCTTTCGTTACAATACATTGAATCGATTTATCATCGATAATTTCGGTGCAGTGAACTATAATTTCGTCTTGGCCAATAGATATTTCAGTTCCAATTTTGACTTCTGTGGTCAAGCATGCGTTATCGACAAATATCTTGTGATTATTGCAAGTTTTGTAATGCGCCATGTCCTTTGTTAGTATGATATGTGACCCTTCTTTAATGCTGATAGATTTTGCTTCCTTGTGAATTAGATTAGATTATGAGAAATAAATAACAGATACTTAGAGAAAATTATTCATATATAGACAGTTTCACACACAATAAATTCTTGCAAAAACTATACATTGATATATTTAAAGAAATGCAAGTAAATTAGACAACTAAATGTTAAGAGTACATAGTCATATCATCATAGGCCCTTTTACGTCCCCATTACAGGCTCAGCTGTAACCGAGACCAACGGCTTAACGTGCCTTCTGAAGCACGGAGTAGATCGAGATTATATTGTTTTGGTCATCCACCTCGTGATCGACCCTTGCGAAAGTTGCTTAACAATAACCATCGCGGGTCGCGGCGCTTATCCATTACGCCAGCACTATACTCTACATTGTCATATGTTGTAGATTATTAACTTGATATACTGAAGGAACAGGTGTATTAAATATCAAAAACACGACTAGAAGGCAAAAGCACTTTACCGATTCTAAAAGACCAGTTTTGATAATACAAGTCTTTAATTCTATACTGCTAGCTACAGGCCAATCAGGCACTCCATATTTTTTGCAGCATTTAAGAGATGCTTTGTCTAATTTGGCAAGTATATGCATCTTCTCCCCCTTGGTGGTTTTGGACATTCTTAATTTTAGTGCGGTAATGCCTGCCTCCAGCATTTTTTGAAGGTCCACCGTTGTTATTAATGAGTCCGCTGGTTATAGGAAGAACATTTATAGTTAATATATAACTTTAAAAAAAGCTTTGCTTAGATATAGCTACTTGTACAGATAAGTATTTGATTAAAATAAAAAGGGAAGATATGGCATACCTATAGCTCCTCATCACCATTATCAGCCTATTGATGACCCCACAACTGAGGCTCAAGCCTTCCCTATAGATGTAATTGAATCACTTGTAATATTTTATTTCATTTCGACATACTAATACACGTGAAATAAGTGCTTTGTGTGTGGTCCTGTTATAAACACGATACAAACCTTCTTCTTGAATAACTCTGTATATTGATGAAAACGGCATTATAATCAGTTTTGTGGTTTAAAAGATCTCAACGAACAGACAGCGCGAATCGACTTCGTTTTATACTGTGCATATAAGCTAAACATACTTACATATAGTGACCATAATAGTAGATTTCCTCGTGTCACTTTCAGGTTTTGATAAAGTCCACGGATTGGTGATTTCCGTATGTGAGCTAGCCTGCATCATTGTTTTAATTGAGAAATTTAAAAATAATAATCAATAAATAAAACACTTATTATAACAAAAGTAAATTAGCTTAAATATATTTATAAAATATTTAGTGCCAAACAAATAGTAAATCAAAGAGTAAGAGTATTTAAATAATCTAAGAGTAAAGTATATTTAAAGGGAAAATCATATATCTACGGGAATATAGATTTATTATACAAGTGATATATAAGTAAACTCTTTTAGCCATTCATAATACCAAGATATCAGGCAGCATAATGTATGTTTATCTAGATAATATGTAGGTATATATGTATCTATTTTTAAAATTCTTTAATATTTGGATCATAGCTTTACTATTGTATCAATTTGAGTTCCCTAACTGAGGCGTTCTCAAATTGAATTGAATGTTTTGTTTATACTTTACTCTTTAATTTTTGATGAGAACCAGTAAAGATGTATATATATATCTTTACATATATCTCTTCGTGGAATATGGGCCGAACCTTGTGTGAACAAAATTATCTCATTGTTGATCTTTAAATCATCTCTAAACTAATAAATCTATGATGATGGTCGAAAATGGGTTGAAACACTACATTTTTTATATAGTCAAAACTATCTGTATTTGCAAAGTATTTGCAATAAAGATATATACTTGACGAAGCTGACTCAATTTATTTGTCAATAAATATGAACATGGACAAGGATGTAATCAGTTAAAAATTGCATAAGAGATCTGTGTTTTTTTTTAATAGAAAATTAAAGAATTGTTAAATTAAAACTTTAATATAACATGATCAAAAGCAAACAATAATTATCAAAAAATAAAGCACAATAGATAAACATTGATATATAAAAAAAAAAAACTACTTAATGAATATTTCAATCCATTAAGCATAAACATATAGGTATAATATACAAACCACCACACAAGAAAAACTTAAATTAATATAATATCAATACTTGTTTTACATAATATTCGTTTTTATAACTAGATTTTGCAATATTTTCTAGGTCAACAGAAATGAAAAACAAATTCCATCTGAAGTGGTGATCTTCATAACGTCTTGAGATTAAACGAGCTAACGTCCAGGTGCGTTAGACAGCCAAAGTTGATTTGAACCCTTCGGCCCTGGATGATAAATAGATAGATGTCTTTGTAAAATATTTTAGATACTTGTGAAAATATATTTTCAAAGATTTTGTAGGAGCACAGAAGCTTTTATCGGTAACTGTTTATATATCTACAATTCTACGTGAGATTTAGTAATTACAATATTAATTCTAAATCGAAAACGATCTATAGCATAAGAGTATACATTAGTAAAAATAAAGTACGACACTAAGGACTGCCTGCACTGCGTTTCTTGCCTCTTTTTATAGTCTAAAAAATGGTGACAAAATGTGCAACAGATCACTAAACTTTGATATTTAAGTATGTTGAAGTACTAAGGGTATCACTCAGTACCCAGTGTGGCGGTCAGGTGCTGGAACACCTGGTGGCGGCGAGGCAATGTATAATACGAAAAATTGTAATATTATACATTAAAGGTGTTTTTAATAGTTTAAAATTAGACTAAGCGGCGACTCAGCAGATTTCAGAAGTTGGTGTGACAATAAGCTTCTAAAGAGATTCGTAATGGATGAAAGTTAATTAGTAAACTTTTAGTAGTTAGTTCATGAAAAAAAAAATACTTAAGGTTTAATTTAATGGAACAAACTTGAACTCATTTGAAGTTTGCTTCGCTCCGCGTTCCAATACTAGAGCTCCACACTGGGTACTGAGTGATATATATCCTTAGTACTTCAACATACTGAAATATCTAGCTTTAGAAAGCTTTTGCACATTTTATCACATGCTTTCCGTGTACTATTAATTGTGCTAATAATTAACATTATTTTTTTTATTTGTGCAATAAAGTTTGCAATTTTTGGACAATATTTAAATAGTATATTACAAAAAAAAAGAATGATTAGAAAAAAATAATAATTTGCATGTGACTAAGTTCCGGTGCATATCCAACGGAAGTTGCATGGCCTCTCGTTGGACGCGGAATGTCAAAACTTACAAATTACCCATATGATACGAAATTAGACTTTGCACACATTCTACAGAAATTATGTTGTGTACTAACATACTTCCGTCAGACACTTGACGTATCTTCCGTTAAATTGGCAGCGGCTCTAATGATCAGAAACAATCACTGTTTACAAAAATGTGCCAACATGTGAAATAAAGAAAAATGTCATAATCCGGTAAAAAAATTGCAGCTCCTATTTTTTGACATTTCTTAACAACTTTCAAAGATATTTGCTTCTAAAGTTTTCCTTAGACTATTCCATATTCATAAGGCTAAATTAGCGATGTTATTCATTCAATATCTTTCAAAAAACGTAGCGATCACAATGTCAAATAGTTGTTGCGTGAAGTTCGTGAACATTTTTCAAACGTAAAATTTAAAGGGATTGCTATAGGATTTAAGATTAGATAATTAGGCCCCAGAATCCTAAGAAAAAATGGTTCATTTACCTGCAATGTTACGACAAACCACTCGAATAAGAGTGTTTCAATAGTTAGTGGCACATATATACAATCTATTTCTTAGAGTTCTCGATCGTCACTTTATCCGTGCTGAAGTAGTCACAGTAGGCACTACTTTGTGACGATTTTCGTAAGATAGCGTAAGGCTGATTGTATTTCATGATTTCGTAATGTACGCAGTGTTGAACAGCGAATCTGATTCGGTTTGATGTATCCAAGTGCCAGTCTTCTTTTTCTCTTTCTGTTGATAGAAGCTAAAATTTATAGTATAACTAATACCAAATGAAAGACCATTACAATTCTTTAAGATTTCATTTAAGATTCTCTTAAGATTTTATTCAACTTGAAATGGTTGTATGTCATTTTTTGAAATTGAACTAGAAGTTATCTTCAATCGATTAAGCTGAAATCTTGCATACAGCGTTAAGTTTAGAATGTGATGTGATGTAACTTAGCTAAAACATGCTAAGTTACATTTTTTTAAATATAATATAACATGTCTCTATTATTAAATATATTATTTGCCATTGATCTAAGTGTTATTTTTTTTTATTAAAGATGGCATTTGTGATATCTTATTAAGTAAAGTATATATCTAGATATAAAAAATTAAGTACATACTATCGTATACTAGTGGTATGATTCCCCGAAAGAGTTGAAGCTGTCGAGCTACTGGGGCATGTGTGGTAACAGCTACAATGACGGACTTTGGATGTATTCGAGACAACTGTTGTGCCGTTCTGCCCGTTTTAGTTAGAACGATGATCACGCCCACGTTCATTTGGCGAGCAGCGATTGCGCAGGCAACAACTACACCATCAGCGGCATTAACAGGTGGCTCTAGCTATTCAAAAATAATGTACATCATACATACTTAGGTACACACGGCTGCACGTTATGTTACCATAATATTTGAAATTTCTGCAATGGATTGAATCGAGTGGGGAAGGACAATTTTGTGTAGTCTGATATGCTGTTGATTGTACTTTCAAACGTGGCTCAAAAACTAAAATACATATTAAAAAATTTACTGAAGATTTCAGAAGCTTCCAGCAGCTTTTTGTAAACTTTGTGAAAACTATTATTTATATGTCGACGTGTAGTCAGAAGGGCCTATTACGAAGCCCAAATAGATCATCCATATCGGAGGACTATCTTTAAAATAACACTGCAGGCGTGTATAACAACGTGGATTTGTTCCATTTTATCACTTTTTATACGAAAATATAACGAGATGAGCGTGATGTCGTCGGATGTCTTTCCGGGCATTATGTGCCTTCCGATACACGGAGTAGCTTGAGATACCCATTATTGGTCACCCTTCCCGTGACGTACCTTTGCGAAAGTTGCTTTACTACAACGACCGCGGCGCTTATCCACTACACGACTAAGTTACTTGGAAAACTAATTTAGATTCCAATAAAAAAATATTTTTTATTGGAATCTAAATGTGGATTTATTTATTTTGAAAATCACAACGTTTTATTGTCTAACTCCAGAGACAATTTTTCCATTTATAAATTTCTAGAATGAATATAGTGTAAAATGCTGCCGACATAGATAATATTTTGCCGTACAGTTAACAGCACATCAGGCTATGCAAAACTGTAAAATTTCTCCATATCATTTTAAATCTTAAAGTATTGATAGTAGAGTAGAAAGTTTTAAAATAAAATGTAGTAAGAAATATAAGCTTTGCTATACTAGATGGCGTTTATGCTAAAGTAATCTGCGCTAACGTTTCTATAAAAAAAATGTGTAGATAACGTTTTCGATTAAGTTTTGTGTAAGCTTCAGAACTGTTTTTTCATCTGTATTTCAAATTGGATTGGATTGGATTAATTTCTCTAAAGTTTTTAAAGATAAAGTGCTGAAACATATGAGATATTTTTTGTATTATCTTCGAACCTAAACATGAAGGTA